CCTTCTGACTGACTACACTTCCAACTGATCGTATCCTTCTGACTGACTACACTTCCAACTGACGTATCCTTCTGACTGACTACACTTCCAACTGACGTATCCTTCTGACTGACTACACTTCCAACTGACGTATCCTTCTGACTGACTACACTTCCAACTGACGTATCCTTCTGACTGACTACACTTCCAACTGACGTATCCTTCTGACTGACTACACTTCCAACTGACGTATCCTTCTGACTGACTACACTTCCAACTGACGTATCCTTCTGACTGACTACACTTCCAACTGATGTGTCCTTCTGACTGACTACACTTCCAACTGACGTATCCTTCTGACTGACTACACTTCCAACTGACGTATCCTTCTGACTGACTACACTTCCAACTGATGTGTCCTTCTGACTGACTACACTTCCAACTGACGTATCCTTCTGACTGACTACACTTCCAAATGACGTATCCTTCTGACTGACTACACTTCCAACTGACGTATCCTTCTGACTGACTACACTTCCAACTGATGTATCCTTCTGACTGACTACACTTCCAACTGACGTATCCTTCTGACTGACTACACTTCCAACTGACGTATCCTTCTGACTGACTACACTTCCAACTGACGTATCCTTCTGACTGACTACACTTCCAAATGACGTATCCTTCTGACTGACTACACTTCCAACTGATGTATCCTTCTGACTGACTACACTTCCAACTGACGTATCCTTCTGACTGACTACACTTCCAACTGACGTATCCTTCTGACTGACTACACTTCCAACTGACGTATCCTTCTGACTGACTACACTTCCAACTGACGTATCCTTCTGACTGACTACACTTCCAACTGACGTATCCTTCTGACTGACTACACTTCCAACTGACGTATCCTTCTGACTGACTACACTTCCAACTGACGTATCCTTCTGACTGACTACACTTCCAACTGACGTATCCTTCTGACTGACTACACTTCCAAATGACGTATCCTTCTGACTGACTACACTTCCAACTGACGTATCCTTCTGACTGACTACACTTCCAACTGATGTATCCTTCTGACTGACTACACTTCCAACTGACGTATCCTTCTGACTGACTACACTTCCAACTGACGTATCCTTCTGACTGACTACACTTCCAACTGACGTATCCTTCTGACTGACTACACTTCCAACTGATGTGTCCTTCTGACTGACTACACTTCCAACTGACTGTATCCTTCTGACTGACTACACTTCCAAATGACGTATCCTTCTGACTGACTACACTTCCAACTGACGTATCCTTCTGACTGACTACACTTCCAACTGATGTATCCTTCTGACTGACTACACTTCCAACTGACGTATCCTTCTGACTGACTACACTTCCAACTGACGTATCCTTCTGACTGACTACACTTCCAACTGACGTATCCTTCTGACTGACTACACTTCCAACTGACGTATCCTTCTGACTGACTACACTTCCAACTGACGTATCCTTCTGACTGACTACACTTCCAACTGACGTATCCTTCTGACTGACTACACTTCCAACTGATGTGTCCTTCTGACTGACTACACTTCCAACTGACGTATCCTTCTGACTGACTACACTTCCAACTGACTGTATCCTTCTGACTGACTACACTTCCAACTGATGTGTCCTTCTGACTGACTACACTTCCAACTGACGTATCCTTCTGACTGACTACACTTCCAACTGATGTATCCTTCTGACTGACTACACTTCCAACTGATGTGTCCTTCTGACTGACTACACTTCCAACTGACGTATCCTTCTGACTGACTACACTTCCAACTGATGTAGTCCTTCTGACTGACTACACTTCCAACTGACGTATCCTTCTGACTGACTACACTTCCAACTGACGTATCCTTCTGACTGACTACACTTCCAACTGATGTATCCTTCTGACTGACTACACTTCCAACTGACGTATCCTTCTGACTGACTACACTTCCAACTGATGTGTCCTTCTGACTGACTACACTTCCAACTGACGTATCCTTCTGACTGACTACACTTCCAACTGACGTATCCTTCTGACTGACTACACTTCCAACTGACGTATCCTTCTGACTGACTACACTTCCAACTGACGTATCCTTCTGACTGACTACACTTCCAACTGACGTATCCTTCTGACTGACTACACTTCCAACTGACGTATCCTTCTGACTGACTACACTTCCAACTGATGTGTCCTTCTGACTGACTACACTTCCAACTGACGTATCCTTCTGACTGACTACACTTCCAACTGACGTATCCTTCTGACTGACTACACTTCCAACTGATGTGTCCTTCTGACTGACTACACTTCCAACTGACGTATCCTTCTGACTGACTACACTTCCAACTGATGTGTCCTTCTGACTGACTACACTTCCAACTGACGTATCCTTCTGACTGACTACACTTCCAACTGACGTATCCTTCTGACTGACTACACTTCCAACTGACGTATCCTTCTGACTGACTACACTTCCAACTGACGTATCCTTCTGACTGACTACACTTCCAACTGATGTATCCTTCTGACTGACTACACTTCCAACTGATGTGTCCTTCTGACTGACTACACTTCCAACTGACGTATCCTTCTGACTGACTACACTTCCAACTGATGTATCCTTCTGACTGACTACACTTCCAACTGACGTATCCTTCTGACTGACTACACTTCCAACTGACGTATCCTTCTGACTGACTACACTTCCAACTGATGTGTCCTTCTGACTGACTACACTTCCAACTGACGTATCCTTCTGACTGACTACACTTCCAACTGATGTATCCTTCTGACTGACTACACTTCCAACTGATGTGTCCTTCTGACTGACTACACTTCCAACTGATGTATCCTTCTGACTGACTACACTTCCAACTGATGTATCCTTCTGACTGACTACACTTCCAACTGAAGTGTCCTTCTGACTGACTACACTTCCAACTGACGTATCCTTCTGACTGACTACACTTCCAACTGATGTATCCTTCTGACTGACTACACTTCCAACTGACGTATCCTTCTGACTGACTACACTTCCAACTGACGTATCCTTCTGACTGACTACACTTCCAACTGACGTATCCTTCTGACTGACTACACTTCCAACTGACGTATCCTTCTGACTGACTACACTTCCAACTGATGTATCCTTCTGACTGACTACACTTCCAACTGATGTGTCCTTCTGACTGACTACACTTCCAACTGACGTATCCTTCTGACTGACTACACTTCCAACTGACGTATCCTTCTGACTGACTACACTTCCAACTGACGTATCCTTCTGACTGACTACACTTCCAACTGATGTATCCTTCTGACTGACTACACTTCCAACTGACGTATCCTTCTGACTGACTACACTTCCAACTGACGTATCCTTCTGACTGACTACACTTCCAACTGACGTATCCTTCTGACTGACTACACTTCCAACTGACGTGATCCTTCTGACTGACTACACTTCCAACTGACGTATCCTTCTGACTGACTACACTTCCAACTGATGTATCCTTCTGACTGACTACACTTCCAACTGACGTATCCTTCTGACTGACTACACTTCCAACTGACGTATCCTTCTGACTGACTACACTTCCAACTGATGTGTCCTTCTGACTGACTACACTTCCAACTGATGTATCCTTCTGACTGACTACACTTCCAACTGACGTATCCTTCTGACTGACTACACTTCCAACTGACGTATCCTTCTGACTGACTACACTTCCAACTGACGTATCCTTCTGACTGACTACACTTCCAACTGACGTATCCTTCTGACTGACTACACTTCCAACTGATGTGTCCTTCTGACTGACTACACTTCCAACTGACGTATCCTTCTGACTGACTACACTTCCAACTGACGTATCCTTCTGACTGACTACACTTCCAAATGACGTATCCTTCTGACTGACTACACTTCCAACTGACGTATCCTTCTGACTGACTACACTTCCAACTGATGTGTCCTTCTGACTGACTACACTTCCAAATGACGTATCCTTCTGACTGACTACACTTCCAACTGACGTATCCTTCTGACTGACTACAC